CCTCGTTTTCAGGCTTTTAGGCTGAAACGACACAGGGCCTGTAGGCCCTCGTTTTCAGGCTTTTAGGCTGAAACGACACAGGGCCTGTAGGCCCTTGTTTTCAGGATTTTAGGCTGAAATGACACAGGGCCTGTAGGGCCCTGAATTTCCGTCTGGTCGGGCCCTGCAGGCCCGTGTGGCTGCGCAGTATGCCACACTCTGTCTCTGTCTCTGCCTCTGCCTCTGTCTCTGTCTCTGTCTCTGTCTCTGTCTCTGTCTCTGTCTCTGTCTCTGTCTCTGTCTCTGTCTCTGTCTCTGTCTCTGTCTCTGTCTGTCTCTGTCGCTGTCTCTGTCTGTCTGTCTGTCTCTCTCTCCCTCCTCCTCGAATCTGGCTGAAGTCATTAACCTTTTCTTGTGCAGCTGGGGTTTTAAAGAATGAGCGGCAAGTAACAGGGCAAAGAGGTAGTTCAATTTGAACTTTGAAGTGGATGGATGGATTTTATTGATGAATGCGTTTTAAAAGATCGAACCATGCCAGGGAGCACAAAGTCATGCGGAGGACTACAGTCTTTCCCCAAACATAACGCATGGTCCTGTTAGCTGTATATAGCAGAATGTTTGGGCCATGTACAGGTATAATGGCCTTCCATATGTTGGGGAGCACGGTAGAAGTCCATTCTTGCAGAAGGCAAACTGTCCTGCTACCACGCTGTTGCGCCCACTTAGAGAGTCGTGCTTCCCTAGCAATAGAGTATACATGCATAGCAATGCAGTCTGCTAAAGTAGATGATGACGTATTGCCTCTGTTGGCGAGCTTGTCTGTGTTTTGCTCTTCTGCAGCGGAAAAGCTTGCACCACTTGAAAAAAGGGGAGGATATAAAACTTTCAGATGGCGACGCATTCTTTCCTGGTGGAGTTGATCTGCTTCTCACAGTGAGTGTAAGGAGGGGTAGAACAAGTGAAACAAGCGGAACGTCAAACTCATCTGATCTCGTAGAGGCGAGCTTCAGGGGTGTGAGGCAAAGTGGGGGTCGTGATGCTGCAGTGGAAGTTTGCTCGCCTACTACCAATGTGCATGCATCAGGCGTGCAGCTACCGTCCGATGCAGGTCAGGGTGTGGAAGCGGAGAAGGAAGGACATTCATGTGAAGAAGACAGGGTGATACCAACAATAAGGGAGCCATCATTCGCATGTGTGGGTGGCCAAGAAGGTGGAGCTGCAAATTGTTCCAGGCCTGTCGAAGAGGAGGACAGGTTGGAAGAAATAAATGACCAGTCAAACATAGTCATGGAAGGCAATCCAGATGTTGAAGAAAGGGGTCGTCGAGAGTACCAGATCGGCAATGATGGAGAGCCATCCGTTGCTGGCGGCAGTTGTCAGCCAGCCCAATCTTCATGTTTGAAAGGCGTTGTGGCGAGTTTAACAGGCTATATCGGTCCAGAAAAAGATCATCTTGTGCATCTTATCAAGCAGATGGGAGGGGTGCACACAGGGGAACTCTCCGTACGGAACACTCATCTGGTAACCAGTCCTTACAAACCGCCTTCGCCCTTCCCCCTCCCTCTCCTCTTTTTTTTTTTTTTTTTTTAAAGGTTAATTYTTTTAAGCCCAACCAATTCAATTACCTGTCAAATCTTGGCAAGATAGCCTTCCAGGCCTTTCTATTATCGTTTCAGTATTACGGGGAACCGGTAGCAGCCAGCCGGAGCTCAAGCCTCCAATTAGGGAACATGCGGAGGCTGCACCCAACCTGCAGGTGGGCGATACCGGCCCGGGGTCAGCTGGTAGCATCAGGACCGAGCTTCTTTGATGGGCTAGTTGCTGTCCCTCCCCTCCGGTTCCCTCCCCGTATAAACATCAGCAGTCTCTGCTCAATGCCGCTCGGGGGAACCAACGACCTATCTCTAGGTGGCAGGTGCCAATCTTGCTGAGGAAGGTGCATGAGGTCAATGGGGATTGAATCCAAGACCTCCTGAATGCCATTTGTGTGCCTTACCAACTGAGTTAGGCCACTGGATTCCTCTCCCCCTCCAACCACTTTTTCACCACCTTTTCCCTGAAACTGACAATGTTGAAAATGTCATCCCCCCTCTTTCACCACCTTTTCCCCTAAACCGCTTGTATACGCCCCCCCAGCCTTGCAGTCCAAAACTCATTGCCACACGAAAACGAGGCTGAAACGTCAAACGCTGGGCCTGCCGTTGATATATTGGATCCGTGGTCGCTTTTTCGTTTCGGAACTGGAATTCAAGGTGTCAGGCCCGCGGCCCAGGTAGCTGTGTACTGGTGCTTTAAACCACCACCACCACTACCCCCAACATCATAAATTAGGGGGGATCGGTAGCACAGGTCCACGAGGGCTACCGGTAGCACAGGGGGGGGAACTGGCGGAGTGGCAAAATTGGAAAATGCGTTGAATTGCCCCCGTGATTTATTTCGCTGTTAAAATGATTTTTAAAAATTAAAAAAAATATTTTCCCTATTCAGATTGCGACAAAGTCTACGGACCCTCGAACTTTCGGAGTTGTTGAGTCATCCTTCTGAGCGCAAAAAATCACGAAAATTGGGGTACTTTTCCCGTTGGCCCACGTGGTAGAGTGGCAAAAATGGAAAATGCGACGAAACGGCGCGGCATTTATTTCACGATCTTTTCTTTTTTCCTGGAAAGATCACAACCTAATCTATAGGATCTGAAATTTTCAGATTTTTTCGTCAATTCTTCTGAGCGCGAAAAATTGCCAAAGTTCGCGCTTGAAAATTTTTGGACCGGAACCGCTTGCGCCTGCCAGTCGCCACGGCCCCTAAGAACCCGTTCCGTAAGGCTAGGAATACGAATTTAGGCCGGCGGGGGTAGTGGTGGTTTAAGCTGATAATGTTGAAAATGTCATATTCTCCTAACACCTTTATGGTACACCTGTAGGTTTTTTTTTTTTTTTTTTGGGGGGGGGGTTGTGAAAAGGTTATAGCCCTTAAACCATCTGCACTTGAAACACATCCTTTGTCCTCTGCGCGCGCCACTGCGTGTAAGCAGGCGCAGGCGGGCCCTTACATCCTGACAAAGCTGATGTGTATATGGGCGCATGTTTCTCGACTACTGTTGGTTTAATATGATTGTGTTTGTCTGATACCATCAGGATTCTACCTCATTATCTGTTTACTAATAGTTACAAGTGTCTACCGTTGAGTGTAGCTTTTCTATTTTCATTTATAAAAAAAGGGGAAATGCTCCTAGGAGTCCTAAGACTCCTAACATTATCGAACAATCAAGAAATTATATATATTTTTTTGTGTTAGACTCAGCCCTGCAGCTGGTCTACAGGAGTGTTACCATGGAGAGTACGTGCTTAGTGGCTTTCACACAGATTTTAGCTTTCTAATTGCTAAGCAACTCTTTTTTTAGCAGCAGGTGCACACCATGCAAAACTTTCAGTTTATGCGCAGCCTACAGTGTAAAGCTGCGTGTTGCATTTCCCTTTGATTCTGAAAATAGCGTTTTGTCTTAGGGATAATTTGCCGGTGGGTTTTTGTTGCGGTAGTGGCCGGATTTGAACCCGCAACCCTGGGCCAATGACATTTTCGTGTTTTTCACAATTTTTCAGTTGATTCTTTTCTCTGATGACACCGAGTTTCAAAACCAAGACCTGAAGGTAAGGTCTCCCTTGCTGAGCATAGTTTAGGCCTCCTTGGAGCAGGGAGTCTGAAACCTTTGCTAGGGTAGAGGCTGTAGGCCTAGTAAAAGAGGCAGCCCAGGAAAAGTGTCGAGAAGGACGCAGTACATAATCTTTCATTCACAAAGTTTGGACTTCTCTCTGGAGTGTACTAAATTTAACGTTGGTGGTAGGAAGTTTGGGCACGCTGCCATGACCAGTTATATAACACTGCCATCTGAATGGTTTTGAGAGCCGTTTGTTGCATGTTGCTCAGGGTAGCAGGGTGCCCAGTTCCTCTCTCTCTCTCTCTCTCTCTCTCTCTCTCTCTCTCTCTTTAATTTTTAGGGTGCACACTGTACAGCTCCATATTAGTTTTTCAGGTTTGTTCTTGGTTTTGTCAACTACTGTGGTGTGAGTAATCAATCCCAGTTTTGTGTGGAGCTCCAATCAAGTGTGTTTCCGCCTCAGTCAAGTCTGTTTCGTCCTCTCTTGCACTGTGTCTCCTTCCGTCTTCACCTGAGTAGAACGCGCGGTCATTATACCTGTATTTGGGCCAACTTTTAGACCAGATGCAGTGATAATGACCGGGCGTTTTGTTCACGTGAAGATGGTAGGTCTTCTGCCCTCCTGTCTCCAGGGTTTGTTATCGGTCGCTCTTGACACTTTCCACCTGGGTATTTATTATGCCACCATTGTCTTCCTACCCCGTCTTCCCCTGAACATAACGTACCCTGATAATGAATGTATACAAGCTAACTTTCCATTCCGATACGGACAAAATGAGGGTGCGTTGTGTTCGGGGGAAGACGGTAGCCATCTTAAACTTGGTACCCTCTCACCCTTTCCTTTCTCATGCTAGTGCTTCCTCGCTTCCAATCTCTGGCAGCTGGTGGTGGTACCATTTCTCAATTCATGCCTGTCATCCTTGGGCAGGGGCCTTGCAAATCTTCTCTGTGTTGTTCTAATTTTCTCGGATGTCTGACGGACTGCGCAGAGTGTTTTCACATGCTGTTTCTTCTTCTTTTTCTCTCCTTAAGTTGAGGACTTGATTGATCATCGCTCCCCTTGCCCCCCTCTTTCCTGCAGGTCTGCTGGCACCATAGAGGACTGAAGTTTGATTTTGCAATGAGAACTCGAGGGATCCACATTGTTAATCATGAATGGCTGGAAGACAGCTTTAATGCGCACACCAAGATGCCAGAGAGTTTGTACTCGATAAGGTACGCTGCTACGCAAACACACCAAATGATGGCATATGTATAGTACTATAGTCACTGTCGGTAAATGGAGTGCTTTTCTGTCCCTTGTTGGGTTGATGGTCTTCCTTGTTTGTATTAACCAGGACTGTTTCTCAGGGAAGGCTGACACTGAGACTCTTTCGGCCTAATCGGACCACAATTATGGCCAATTCATTTCAAAAACTCGTGGTGTGAGTTTGACCTCATGCTATTCCTCAGCATCTAAAATTTTCCCTTACTCTGCTCATTGGTACACTGAATGCATACTTTCTCTTTCTAGTCCTGTGATTGAGACCTTTATCGTCCGGCGTGAAGGTGCTGGAGGCTTCAGTGAATGTGAGCTCCTCCTCCACCTCCTCCTCCTCCTCCTGGGGCGCATTGTTCTTGGGAGGCACTATAGCAGGTTGGAGGCCTGGAGACCAAAAACAATCCTGCAGACAAATGATTCGTCCTGATGTGCACACACACATCAGGAATAACAGTAACATACAATCTCAACGCAAAGGCGACACACAAAATGGTTGCCGTCTTGAACAGAAACGCCAATGACAATTGATGTGTTTGCTTGCAAGTAATCTGTTTTGCAGTGTTCAAGGTATCTCAACCGGTGAATGTAGATGTGTGCAGGCTCTTATACTGGCCGGTCCTCACGCTCTCAGTATACATTGTGATTGCGCCTCTCGAGCATTTGCCTAAGGGTTATGGGGTTTTCTTGGCCCACCTACCGTCGTCACCCGAATAGAACACCCGGTCATTATTGGTGAATCTAGTCTGAAAATTGCACCAGATACGGCAATAATGACCAAGCGTTCTATTTGGGTGAAGACGGTAGGGCCTCTCTTCTAGAACATACAGATCGAATGTAAGGTCGATCAGGAGGCTCTAGAAGAGGCTCTGAGTGTGTGTGCCTCAGGAAATGTGTCCAGCACTAGGTCTTCTATCCAAGTCCCATGCCCAGCACCTTTGCTCGGTCATCAAGGGCATCTCTGCTGGGTCAGCAACTTCCCTTACTACACAGTTATTGGGACCATAGAGGCATTTACTAATCAGTTTCAACGAACATTGCTTAAACCACCAGTATTTTGCCCATACATTGGCTGGGGCGAAAACTACAGCCGTGACGTTTCCACTTGAATGAATTTGTACCGCAGTCGATAGGCCCGTTCGGCTCAGCGCGTTGCGGCTCATTTACGGCCACAACTTTCGGAAGTACTGGTGGTTTAAAGCACTACCTTCTTCTTCCCCCGAATACAATGTACGGTCATTATAGCTGTCTTTAGACTGAAAGATACCCCAAATACAGCTAGAATGTCCACACGTTGTATTCGGGGGAAGAAGGTAATGTTGCCCAAATGTTGCTCCAATGTTTCTCTACCACATTTGAGCAGTAGTGGAACAAAATCAGTGTTGCTTCCTTTGCAAACGTTTCCTGAAGTGTTGGTCCGAGGAATTGTTGTTTTTTTTTTTGTGGCCCGATGGACCACGGCCAGATATTAAGTTGATCAGAACAGGTTCTACACTTGATCATAGCCGAGGAAGGTAGTGCTCGTATGAATGCTGAAGAATCCGATTTCAAACATCATTAATTTTTGTGTTGATTCCGTGCGCTCCAAACCCGCTCGCTGGTTTGAGCAGGGACAACCCGTCTAGGTGAATGTGCATAAAATCAATTTGGTGGACAGATCCGGACAGCTGATGGACTGCGGCTTGTTTGGAAGCACTTGCTGTTGCTTTTTGTGCAAAGCATGGATCACACCAATGATGAAAGAACACACAGGATGTCCTGCCAACGGCACGCGCTACTGCGTATCTGGTCTGAACCACACACACTATGCATCCTACTGGCCTTGGTTAGAGTTCTTCGGACGTGGTCAGGGATGTTATTTGCACTGGCAACTGACATATGGTGACAAAAAATAATGCTACTGTCTTCACCCTCACCCGAAAATAGTGCCTGGGCGTTATGTTTAACTTACCCCAAGAAAAGTCCGATACCTGTTTTACTCACTTTTTCTCCAAATATGATGTCGCCTTGAAATATAACGCCAAACACAACGCCCGGGCGTTGTACTTGAATGTGGCATGGGTAGAATGCCTTGCAGAGGGGGAAAGGGAGGTATACATGAAGATTAAAGGGGGTTGAAAAGGGGCTTAACTTCAAAAAGGGGTGTGCTTTAGTTTGCGTTTTCTATTTGTTCTTTTAACAAGAATTATGAAGTGGCTGTTAGCCGAAAGTTGTTCTCATCGTGCAATCAGACTTGCTTTCTTCTTCACTTCGCATGCATGCAAACAGATGGCAATTCACACTGGCGCTGTGCGCCCACGCAAAACTCAGAGATAGTCAAGCCGAGAACACAGTTCAGTTACAAACTCGCTTCCAATTGGCTATGGCGACTGGGCGCCCACACATCCTCTCTCCAACACTGTGTCCCCCAACTGTTCACACGCACTCGACTTCGGACCTCCCTGAATATCCCACGTACATACACTCTGCAACACACACACACACACGCGCTGAACTCTGCCTCTAAGCTACAGCGGCTATGGCTGCCTAACCTCTACTGGCTATGGATACTCTATCTTCCTCCAGCCCACTTCGACCTCGGGCACCTGCAGACCACCTCGCACAAGGCGCTAGGTCAGCGCTTCCGCACGGCTCCCGCAGGAATGAATGAATGGCTGGACACTGCCTCTTGATTTATACTTCTGTAGGTCGCTGGTCCTCCCTTTTCCACTCGACCCATGGTGCACACAGGCCCTCATGGTACTTGCTTTTTGTACAAAGTGAGACTGGGACTGGGTACCACTGACTAAGCAAAGTTGGACTCACCACTTGCCCACTTGCCTCTGGCCTGCTGTGTATAACGTGAGAAGAAACTTGAAAGGCCACTTCCAGACCTTCCGGAAGTTTGCGGACTTGGCCTTTCAGGACTGTAGCACCTACGACCTTGACCTTTCAGGACTGTAGCACCTACGACCTTGACCTTTCAGGACTGTAGCAGCTACTACCTTGACCCTTCAGAACTACAACAACTATGACCCCTATGCAGCTGTGACCCCTACTTCGACAGGTCTAAGGTTCAAGACCCGACAACTACTCAGACCTACGACAAACAACTTTTAACTACTAACACAGAGGTCATGGGTTCAAGACACAGGGTCGACTTGATACTGTACACAAGGAAGGTAAGGTAAGGTAAGGTTTGGGGATCGAGCCCTGGGATCCGCATCTGTGACTGCAAAAGGTGAAAACCGTTTCACTCCCGCCGGCCTAAATTCGAGGTCCTCCGAGAATATTTCAGTCCAAGGCTGGACCTTTATCTTTCTTATCTCTCTCATAGCCGCGAACTACCTCGGGAGCAGTCTCAAGCAGTTCTGTTCGTGTAAACCAGCGCGGTTGTCCTCTGGCTGAAAAGCGAACCTAACCTTATACTGTTTCTGTGGACGACCCCTACCTCCTGTTCTGAAGACATCTTCACCTATGATGCCGTCAATGTCGTACCTTCCATCCATGTCCGGAGGGATCATGGACCTTCGTGATAGAAACTGTTGGCTTGTGGTACCAGGCAGCAACTTTGACACATGAAACACCGGTTAGGTGTGGAGGTGCGCTGGAATCTCGACTATGTAGGACGGTCCATCCTCTCCGCCCTCGACTTCTAAGACTGACCACGGTCCTCGGTATGCAGGCAATAACTTTTGTGAGATGTTCTCCTCAGGAGCAAACTGTGATGGGCGACGGTGCTTATTGGCTTGCTCTATCATTCTATGCTGGGCCCTCCTGAGGTTCTCTACTATAGTAGCAATCTCTTTTTCATGTTGTATCGCGAACTCCCTAGTTCCGGGCGGTAGCCTTTGAATCTGATCCCGGTTGAGTCCCTCAAACGGTCTACGCGGTCGTAAGGACTTATGCAATTCGTTGGGAGTGCGACAAGTGGCTAAGTGCACACTGTTATTATAGGCACTGGCTACCTTTGGGAGCATCTCATCCCAGTTAACTTGGTCAGGTCTAATGTACATTCTCAGAACCTGCTGCAGGACTTTGTTCATCTGCTCAGTCTGACTGTTGGTCTTTGGGTGATGGCCAGATGACATCGACAACTTAGATCTGCAAACTCTCATCAACTCCTGCCAATTTTGACTAGTGAACCTGGTATCCCTATCACTAACTATAGAAAGTGGTAAACCATGTTCACTGACCCAATAATCGAAAAACTTCTGTATAACTAAATCTGTTCGTGCCTCTGAAGGCAAAGGAACAAACACTGCATACTTACTAAATCTATCAACTACCACCATGATTTGGCTCTCGCCATGTCTACTTCTGACCTTAGCATCCATGAAGTCGATGGATACAGAGTCTCTGGGCCCATTGGGAATAGGTAAGGGTCTGAGAAGACCAAGAGGGGCTTGCGTTGTGGTTTTATTTTGCTGGCACACTTTACAACTGCGTACATACTCTATGCAGTCAGCCTTCATACCTGGCCACGTATACGTGCGAATAAGGTTGGCCAACGTCTTCTGCCAACCAAAATGTCCCTCTGTGTCGTGGCATTCCCCTAAGATCAGAGTACGGATCTCTTCACTATTGGGAACGCATAAACGATCGGCTGCATTAGTCTTCTCGAATAACAACCTGTCTGTAGTGCGGTAATCGGGTTCAATCTCTGGTGCCTCCCTAACTCTTTTGAGGAGATCGCTATAGATAGGGTCCTGCGCATACACTTCCTTGACTTTCTGTTGCAGGTCTCGTCCTATATCCAGATAATGAACTGTTGCTCCAAAGTAATCAGCCCTCCTACTTAGAGCATCCGCGACTACATTATACTTCCCTTAACTGGCCTGACCTCAAAGTCGAAGTGGTCTATCTCTGCGGCCCACCTAGTAAGCTTAGGTGTCATCTTGGCCTCCATCTTCAGCCACCTCAACGTCTCGTGGTCTGAATAGACTTTGAAGTGCCTCCCAAGCAAATAATGCTTCCA